CATAATATTGCGTAAGTTATTGTTAACATTTTAACTAAGGCTACGCATGCGGTACAAATGCAGAAAACCTTAAATCGGATTGAAAAGCTAATATTTTTATATATTAATAATAAATGTATATAGTGGGTTTCACGGATTCAAGAACAACAAAATAATATAAGTCTTTTATTTAATTACTTTATTATATGCAATTGTTAAATAGTAGTCAAAAGATAGATTCTATAACCTTTTACCCCTATAATATGCTATTACATATGTAGCCAATTTGACTGTGACTGTAGCTATGAATCCTCAAAGATAAAAAATATATAAAAAATTACAAATCATTCAAAATATACGTATGAATTAACTATATATACAACAATAAGTCCACCAGGATTCAGTGAAGTGCAAAATTTCGACCTAAAGACCTAAGCCTTTGTATAGTTTATCCAATACTTTTTAGTATATCTCAATATACTTAACAGTATTTCATACGAGTGGACCTTCAGTTTATTTGCTTGTAAGTCTGAGTAGTTTTGTGTTTATTTCGTAATAATTAGCACCTTTGGCCAAGTGTAACATCGGCCTTACACTAGTACTCTACATTTAGTAATACGACCTACTTCATATCAATCCTATTCCATAAAACTTACCACTTTTAAATTACTTATGAACGTGAAATTGACTGTTTACTGTTTCAAGCAAACAAGAAAAATTACGATATAAAACTAATTATCGTTTCTTAATACGCATAACGTAAGCCAGTCCATCCATGGCTTATATACTTCGACTATTTAGGAAAAAGGGATATTATGTTCCTTATAATTCTAGTTACTGGGCCTCCTTCCTGGTGCCTCGTGCCTGAAGACCCAATATCGACAATCTTTTTAAGACACAATTCCGTTTCTAAGAGCTCGCTTGACCTCACTAATTATCTTATGAATTATTATTATTATTCACCGCAGTAATGTAATCTTCATTATTAATGTATACTTTACAGAAATAATACGTTAACGCAATTAACCTTAAAATTAACTCAAGGTTATCTGAAAGGATCTAAAAATGTGAAATACGAATCTAATTACACCATTATTTGGCCGCTCATTATTTACCTTAAACACTTTAAAATTAACCAATTAATTAAGAAACGATTTTCCGTTTCCTAAACCTATATACCTATTTATTACAGCGATTTTTTTTTTGTATCTGATAAAATTAAGTACGGAGGCCCTTATTTTTTGTTGAATTATCATAAATCACCTTAATATCCTTTGAGACCCGAGATTCTATAATATTAATAGAGATAGCGATTGATACCGAGGACTGTGTCTTTCTTGTCTTCTATATTATAATACAATGGATTCGGCATTATATATTTTTTTGTGTCGTATTTTATCTTTAATGTAAACCATTTAAACAATTTCTTTCTTGGGGTTCAAGTGCACAGGCACTAATTAATGGTTAGAGTTGGCGCCTGGTTGAAAGTACCGGTGACCCCAGAGCTGGTTCTTTCCTCGCTCAACGAATAAGTATCGCAATACAGCGAGGAAATGCTGCCAGCGTTTCAGGTACACCACAGGGACTAAACTTTTTAAATTTGTTTTAGTTTTCTATTTCTTAATTTTAAATATAAATAATTATATATTTTGATTATTATTATTCTATGTGGTTAACAATATTGCAAATACTGCAAATTTGTGTGTTGGAAATAAATTTTCTAAATCATTAAAAATAACTTATGTGTAAAATAAATATTTACTACTAGTTATAAATTAGTAAAAATAAAGTAGTCCAGCATATCAACTGAAGTAAATCAAAAACTAGGTTCTACTAAAATAACGTCCAGGAGGAACGTGCTAGCTTCTAAGTCAGGCAAAACAATTTCATGTCATGTCCTTTCTTTGGTTAGTAATAAATGTGTGAAACGCAATTTATTCAAATCGTTGACGTGCGTATCGCGAAGCCCAGGTTTTATGGATATCTAAATCCATTAAGCCACATCCAAAAATCCATTTATCCAGGCTGGATTAGCATATACATTAGCCCGATGGCTTCTCAATTTAAATAGTAACTTAATATTCATTTGAGGTCCGGCCTCCTTGCAGCACTCAGCTTAATTGAAATGGATTACACGATACTGCGATGATTATGTGCTTCCGCCTATTTTCTCGAAAATCATTTTTCATATTCAATATTCCTTGTATTAATTATTTAAGGTTAAGCGTGCCTTGGTAAATTCATTCTGAGGTACTACATTCGAACCCCGGTTTTAAATAATCGCGTTGTGCGTAATGGGCAACAATTAACGCAATGTATGTAAGGTAAAACGGTAAGAAAACTGTTAGTAAACGACAAGTGTCTTTGCAATTGAGGAGAACTAAGAGCTAAAAGGAACTCCAGGGGGCCTACCATGAACTTTCTTAAAACAATCCAGTTGAGATGCAGCGGAGTTTAGGTACCTAAAGTCAATAGCATTTTTTCGTACCATGAGTCATGACCGCCTATAAGCTGAAACGTATTAGCATCGCAAGACCGAATGAAAGAACGATAATTTTGTTTGTGGTTTCTGAGTACGTTTAGAAATTTAACTATCAAACTTACTTCGACAGATGTTTCTATGAAAATAAATAAAATATAAAATTATTTTAAATAATTCATCAATCACAATAAGCTATTATGTCTTAATATATATATTTATTTTATATAAAACTATTCTTTTGATATATTTTAAACGGAAAGTTCTCTGGTGCTATGACAGTTGACACTTATTATTTTTAAACGTTTCTTTCAAATTTTGATAGGAGCTTTCAAATTTCAATATTTTGGTGTTTACAAAATTTCGGTTTTATAAATATATTTACAAATTGTTTAACTTATAAAATAATGGTATGGGGTAAGTATTGTTCACAAATTTGTTTATTAAAAATAAATACCTATAACGAAGTGAATTACTGATATAAAACCCTTTGCAAAAGATATTACAAATCAACTTATTACTCTAAAATCATAAGTGACTATAATAAAAAATAATTCCTTCAAATTGTACAAACTCAATTTATACGTCAACTAATTCATATAATATAAATAATTATACTTTCTTTACAGGAAAGCCCCTCTTCATCTCCCAATACGGCTGGTCACCGTGGGGGATAATGACTACAACCTTCCATCTCTACTACAAAACTTCGATGTATGCACTTACAATGCAAAATCTTTTTTATCAAATGAAAGATTATTATTATGACGAACCACCAAACTATTCCAATAAAGGTTAATAACAGTACATTACAATATGTTTAAAACTATGTTTACCTGGGTCAACAAGTATCTTTCAACATGTCAACATGAGAGTCAACATAACCTGGAATAAATCCTGGAGCAATAAAGAAACCCTTAAATCAGAATTTTAAAACTTAAGAAAAAAATTATATATATTATATATTACATATTTAATACCTTGTCTTACATATGGCTTCCAGACATGGATTTACAATAACTACACCAAAAACAAAATACAAGTGTGCCAGAGAACGATGGAAAGGAGTCTACTAAACATACAAAGACAACATCGGAAGAGAAATACAGAAATAAGGAAAACAACCAAAATAATAGACGCTTTAGACAAAAATGTAATTGGGCGGGCCTTACTGCTCGCATGGACAAGGAAAAAATTGACACCAAGGGTAACCTGGCGAGAACCAACAAAAAGATTAAGAGGTAGACCAAAGTAAAACTGGATTGATGAAATAAAAAGAAAAGCTGGTGAAAACTGGACCACCAAAGCAAAAGACAGACAGATGTGGAGCAAAATGGAGGAGGCCTTTACCCGTAGAGGGGTCCATAACGATTTAATGATACTTTATAATGATTTATAAAAATGAATTTTGTTTTTGATTCTTATTAATTTATTTATCATTTCAAACTTATATACATTGAAATTATTAATTATGATTGGGATATAATTTAAAGATTATAAATAATAATATTGTATTTTTTAATGCATGCACAATATAATTAACATATGATATACTTTATGTTACACATTATGGAAATAAATATAAAAATAATAATAATTTTCTTTACAGCCTAACCCCACAAAACCCCCCAATTGAGAGTCTATATGAATAAATGTTTTCCAATCTTAACATTGCCTGAAGAACCTTTTAAAGCTAGAGGAATCATCATAACTGAATAAATTGTTATTATAATACATTTAAATGGTTAATATTTCACATAAATTTAAAAATACCTATGTTTTTTTAACAACAAAAGCAGAGGAGGAAAATTTAATTATAATACATAAATATTTGCTAGTACTATGGCATTCTTATTTATTGTAAAATATATTATTATATTAGGGGATCATGTTTTTGTTAGACATGCATAAATAATTAATTGAATATTAATGAACAATGTACAATTATTTGTACATTGTTAATTGGTACACTGAAATCTTCAATGAATGAAAGTCAATAATCTATAGTAAATTATAAACTCAATATCTACGAAGTCGGTAGTCGGAAGGGCATTGCCGTCTTGTTTCTCATCTCCGTCTATATTTTAATAATTTATTTATAATCTAAATAACACTCTAAACTCAAAATACCCCAAAATATCGTAAATATAAAAATTATATTTTTTTTCCTATATTAGCCATAGTAGATAAATCTTATTATTTTAACTTTATTAACAAGTTTTAATACAAATATTGAATTTTATAGGTTCTAAACTATTATTTGGACATTTCGATACAAAAAAGTTGAACAAAAAGTAACTTTTTTAGAATCGCTTATTCTGTCATAGTTGGAAGGCGCGACTGTCAAATTTCGGTTCAGCCGAGCGGTCATGGTACGTATTTTCATACAAATTGAACGAACGAAATCTGATAACCGCTAAGGTCACGTGGGAACATAAACTGTCTCGTTTTTTCGATGTCATGGTACGAATTAGCGATGCATCTCAGTTGTAGGTTGTCAATAGGCTCGCAATAAGAGTTCATGGTAGGCCCCCAGGTGCATTTATTCTACCGTAACATGTGAGCCAGGTGGAGCTCTCTGCACCGTCCTGCCGCGGATCAGGCCTAGCTCCAGCAGGTGGTGGCGCGGTGTCATCAGTCGGAAGCGGCAACTAGCACAAAAGGCCTCTGTCATTGACTGACCTGCTGTCATTAAAAATATTACTAAAATATTATTGACTACATATAAATACTAAATAGTAGTTTTCGTTAAATTACAATGGTACGCAACGGTCATGTAGAATTGTAATTGGATTAATACAATAAAATATATTTTTACCAAACAAAGATAATATATTTTATAAATAATATTAGATGTTGAGAGATAGATTGTGTCATGGTTAAGTATTTATTTTGACGTAAATATTTTTTTCAAATTTCCCACGTGACGTAGCATGTTTTATACATATTGCGTACGAGGCTGAATTAATATTTTAAGCATCTTTCATAATTATGTTTTAATTCTTGTACTAATTGTACTGAACTCTTTCTTTTGTAAAGTACATTTCTCAAATTTTTTTGAAAAAAAAAAGACGGATCAGAAAATGTGGATGATCTTCCTCAGACACACACATATTCACGAAAACAAAACTTATATAAATTAGATTATTACATAATAAAGGTTAAGAAAAAGACAAATAAAAATGCTAAAGATATGTATAAGCTGTCAACAGGAACTCACTATTCCTATGTTAGCAGAATTGGCCACTTTCCAGATTTGTATTCATTATCCATTGTAAGCTTTTTGCATTTTTAACTACATTCTATGTTCTCAAATAAGTCTTCATTCATTCATTATGGATCAACTTCGTGTTGAGTAGACAGAAGTACTATAAATAAGATTATTGAAACAGCAAACTTAAACTCATTGAATATGTGCGTAAGTACTCACACCTGTCCACAAAACTGTCCAAGGTAATTTTTGTCAGCCCTCCATTCCATGCCTGCACTGGAGGATGACTCGATGGCCCACACCGCAAAGGGGAATGCAGATCGTCTGGGCTGTCTCTTTGCATTGAACTCGACTTTGGAGGACCAAAGGCACCACCGACATTATTGCGGTGTGATACTTTGATGCCTGAAATTATATTCCGGCAACCATAAGATTCATAAGTCGAGCGGCCCTGATGACATCCCGCCACTTATGCTGCGTACTTGTGCTCTTGAGTTGACTCCGGGCATAACGCGGCATTGTCCCAAAGTGCTGGAAGACCGCTTTAATACCTACATCCGATCCCTAAAAAAACCTATCCAATTATTGCCTAATAGCCATAATCTCCTGGTTCTCCTGAGATATCTAGAAGGCCACCACACGAAATCCGCACTGACAAGCTGATAACAGATTGTCAATGAGATCTTCTCGTTTACTTTACGCAAAGATGCAAGAGCAATTCCTTCTAAGGGGGAGGTAAGTTTTACGGTAAGGTTACGCTGGCGATAAGTTTGTACAAAGCTAAAACCTTCGATTGGGTGTGGCACAGAGCGCTTCTTTCGATTGATCAGAGCATCAAGGTCGTCAGTGACGGTGCATGTTCCCACTTCAAACCCGTGAAACCCACAAGACTAATTCCTATACCCGACCCTGTTTTTTCAGCATATAAATTTGTATATGTTGAAACTTAGCAACATTCATTGCTATGCGGACGATAGCATTATATAGAGTATATACTGGCCGCGCAGGTATTTTTTGGGCATTTGTCATCTGTTTCGGAACAAACTTGTGTCTGAAGGTGAAACTCTGCTACGTGGAGTCTAGGACTGTGGTCGAATTAATCTAGTCCAATTTAACCCTAAGAATACACAAATTTGCACGTTTTCCGCAAAAAAATACCCTTTGTCGCTACTCCTCTCTTCGAAGACACTCTCATTGAAGCCTATAATAGCTAGCATCGGAATACTGGGCGTTGACACATCGAATGACGTTTAGTTTTACGGTAATTTAGAAAGGAAGGCCAAATTAGCCACTTAGAAGATTGATGTGCTCAGCAATGCGAGACAGTACTTCACTCTGGGCCACCGTTTGCCAATCTATAAAGCGAAAATCAGCCCCACATGGGATACTGTTCTCATCTCTGGGCGGGAGCTCCCCTGTACAAGCTTCTCCCACTTGACCGTATTCAATATAGCGTGATTCGAATCCTCAACGACCAGTCACTTTCCGAGCGGCTTAATCCTTTGGCGTTGCTTAGAGATGTGGGGTCACTCTGGACCTTCTACCACATTTACCATGGTGAGTGTTCAGAATAGTTGTTCAGATTAATCCCCGCAGCTGAGGTTCATCATCGGACGTCGAGGCAGAATACGAAATTCTACCAGTATAATCTTGAAGTCCATCGTTCCGCAACTGAGCGTTTTTTAAGGCATTTTTTGCCGCGCACCACCGCTATGTGGAACCAGCTGCCCACTGAAGTATTTCCGAACCAATTCGACTTAGGGTCCTCCAAGTAAAGAGCGTACCAATTCTTAAAAGACCGGGAATGCCCTTGCGAGCCTTCTGGCAATGTGAGTGTCCTTTTGGCAGGAGAGCCTCCTGGCCGTTTGTTACAAAAAAAACTTAAGTGCGTAAGCATTTGAAACAATAAAACTGAAGTAGTATTATGTTATGAGTCGTCGATTACTCACAGCAATTACATTGTCAAGGCTATAACTGGTCAATGGAGCGTGGAAACGTGAGAACTTATTATTTCAATTACACCAGACGCTTTTCCGCACAATAATAACAGATTTGTTTTTTATTTAAACAGCAATTTGAGCTGGCCTATAAGACTACAGTCACCCGCTATATAAGATTAAAATTGTTATGTTGACATTGAGTGCAGATATTAAAAAAAACTATTTCTACATTATATATTACTGTAATAAACGTAAAGCACCGACCATTTAGTCCAAAAGTAGTGTTAGCCTAGAGTCGAGGCCCTAGACTACTTTTGGACTACCAACCCTGAGGTCATAGGTTCGATCCCGGCTGTGCACCAATGGACTTTCTTGATGTGCGCATCTAACATTTGCTCGTACGGTGAGTGAAAATAATGTGAGGAAACCGGGATGTCGCAAATTCAATAATCGACGACATGTGTTTAACAGAAGACTGATCCCCAACTTGTCTTTGAAATAAAAGTTATCAAAAAAACTGATACAACCCGAGGCCCATTTAGGGTTGTAGCGCTTCTGGAATATATATTATCATTATTACCATGCATTTAGTGGTTTAGTTCTGGGCTCTCGACGGGGCTCGATTTCCAAAGAAAAGTTACTGAATTGTTTTGGTTTTAGGGGTTCGGAAGGTTGATTATATCATAGGTACTTCATGTTCAATCTACGAAACTTCAACTGATAACGCAAAAATACACTTTTATTTTTTATTTGTTTCAATAAAAATAATGGCACAAGAATTTTTTTTTTATTTATTCAAAATAACATATGTAGAAAATACAATTTCTTAAATTATGATCACTAACACGATTTTTGTGATTATCATTTGTGTGATAATTAACAAATAAATGAATAATTGTTGAAAAGATAATTTAAAGGAAACTTTATACCAATAATTTGACCGAGAATAATAATACACGCCTGGCCACTAACCACCCCGCGTTGCAGCACAACAATTTTTACAGTTTAGCACCATTTATATCAATGAGAAGTTTCAAATATCGTCGTATATTCATATACCGGGTATTGCAACTGTAATAAATTTAAATGTAATACTCGTAATTACATATACGATTAAAGCTCATACGTAGTAGACATAAGACTAATCTTAAATACCCAAAAATAGACGTCCAGTGTCCTAAGGCGGATCACCTGCTTATTTAAAAAAAAAACAAAAATCAAAGAACAGATCTGCAGCTAAGACTGGATTTACTAATAATCGTTGACTGTAAATTTCATGTGTACTTTAAATAATTTGGTATGTCGTATAAAAATATTTTAATTGGGGATTTTCGATTGATTTAACCTTCAGTCACAAGATGGCGCTAGTAGGTAAGTAGATCGCGCTATCACGAGAGCGTAGAGTCAGTACTAATTATTTTGAGGAAGGTGAATCAATTGCCATCAGAAGGGTCTTAACTGACTCGACTGAACAGCGAGTGATGAAATGGGAAATGATCACATTGATTACACTCCGCTCACTCTCGTCTCAACTATCGCAGAGGCTTGAGTTGAATATCTGACGCTGTTTTTGGCCTATTTTAATAAATTATATTATTACTTATTTAGAAAGTTACCAAAACATGTCATGGTCATCGGCATCTCTTCAAATACTCATAAATTACCGACGATTACTGTCAATTAGGGACATTCTGCATAAAAAATAGATTTTTTATTAATCGATTTTTTCCTAATTTTTGAATTAATTTCAAAATAATCACCCTAAATATATTATTTTTCATGGTTTTTTTTAATGAAAAATAAACAAAAATTAATGTTTATGAATAATCAAAATCGAAATTAACTTAATCTCGTTTTGATAGATTTTAGGTGAAATTTGATAAATGTGTTATGTATATATGTGCTTTTCAGTAGCACATTGCAGTATTTTTGTTGTCTTTTTAATTGTATGTTATCTTGTGCTGCTGAATAAATTTATTTTACTTTGAAATTATAGTGTTCCATTCAAACTTGAGTTTTTGTAAAATTAATTTACTTTAAATTCAAAGAATCGTATTCAATGTCTCGCATTCTAAACATCGATGTATATCGAATATCCGTAATAGTTCGAGGTCAGGGTTATAAAAGACCAGACATAATGTCGGGAGGTGGCAGAGGAAAAATCGACTATGATTGATTTTCAATTATAAAAATAATCGATTAATAATCGATTATTTTAAATATAAAAATCGCGTAAAAAAATCGATTAAAATCATTTTTTTTAATAATCGATTATTTTTTCACATCCCTACTGTCAATCGTAAACTGTTAAGTGTTAATGTAATTATTGTAAAATGTAAAGGTTCAAGACACAAAGTTCCTAAATTGATAAATAGAATATAGATCTTACTTTCTTACCTTGATTGAACTTTCAAGTCTGTTAATTTTTTTAAATTGTCATGCTAAATAGCGAGGGCCACGGAGAGTAATGACTGTCCTGTTCTAAGTTTTTGTTAACTAAAGTCTGCGCAAAAGCAGCAACGGGATTAACAAAAAACGTCAAATAGATAATTCACGAATATCTGTCCGGGGGTGACAATGTCAAACGAAACGTATTTTCTTGTGCTAATGGCGCTTCTAAACGGGCCATGTTTTGCTGCAATTGATGGCTGCACTGTTGGCAACTAATTGCCCGGCCATTACAAAAATATTTTAATGCAGCTGATGGCCGAACAATCTATGGCTGGGCAATGTGTTGCAATAGTATGGCCCATGATGCAGACTCCTAAACGGGCTACACAAACCGGCAACAATGGCTGACGAAATCACACTTGTCGCAGCAGCTTATATTGTTTTAAAAAAGAAACAGAAAAAGAAGAGATTGTGCGACCTTACTTAAATAGGCGTGAAACTGTAGACAATTTGAGTCTAGAAAATATAAGCCTTGATAATAAATTATTCAAGAACTTTACTAGAATGTCAAAAGCAGTCATTTGTACGTAGTAACCTAACGTCAAAATGCAGCTGATCGCAAAACACAGAATATAGCAACAGGCACACTTCACTCATCGCAAACGTCATGTCGGGTAGAAAAGGATACACTATGCCCATAACAAAGAGAGTGACTGAAACAACAATAAAACTGGCTGTGCAATATTGCAGTTGAATTCGATAGCCTAACGATCGTTCGGCCACCCATTGGGGCAACATCGGCCATATGTGGCTATACAAAACATGTTTGGCTATATGGCCGGGACATTACTGCAATATTGCATAGTGTGGCTGCTATTGTTTACAATGTTGCCGGCTACAGTGTTGCAGCCATCAATTGCAGCAAAACATGGCCCGTTTAGAAGCGCCATAATACATACAATTAATTGGTTTTTCCAAAACAAGTCTTAACATTAAAGCAAAATATTGCTGA